CCCCCCCCCCCCCCCCACTGAAGAAAGACCAAATAAACAAAATTGAAAAGAGGGAAATGATAAATTATAAATTCTAAATTAACGGACCGATTTGGAATGAAAAAATGAAGTAGAATGTGTCACAAGGTAAAATTCAACGATTTGTGCTGACGTACTTGCTGCGTCGTCACTGGTATTATTCACTTCAATAAAAATGTCTTGTGACTCCTCTTCATCACTGTCAAGTATAATGAAATTCATTTCGCTCTTTTGTTTAACGGAATTTGTTACGATTTTCCTCGTGAATTTTGGGTTTTGGTGGCAAACTATAGTTCAGCCGCACGAGCTATAGTGTAAGAGGGACTCACTTCACGTCTTACTTAACAGGCCATGGCCTGTAAATCGTGAAATCGGGGCTAGTTTTTACTTACCGGCCCATGGCCTGGTAAATCCCACTTACGGGTTCTAAAACACACCACGAAAACGCCACTTAACGGACATGAATGACAAAAATACTTTTATCGGCCTTGTGATATAATGTGCTATTACATCCGCGGCAATTTTCGATGTTTGGCTCAAACAAAAGATGCTTATTCGTGAGATATTGATGGAATGAATGGAGCACATACTCCGTATGCAATCGTCAACCAAAGTTCGTGAACAGCCTGACTTGCATCTTATGTATTCTACATGGATTGCAACTTCAATCTATTCACGAAATTCAGTAAACGATTATATTCTATTCATCTTTCCAATCAAACTCGGCGTAAAGAAGAAGAAGACTCCAACCTCTCAAAAAAAGGGAATTCGTAATTTCTCCCGACACTTGATAAGTATTCATGAAAAATTAGGGATAAAGTGGGAGTGGATCAAGTGTCCCCCACTTTGTGATGAAAATGGGAGTGAATCATGTGTCGAAAGAAATTTGGGTCGTCTCTCCCTGACGGAAGAAAAATCAGTAGCGATGCGGTAAACCGGAATAAGTGGATTTTGACTATTGGTCAGTTTTTCACTAATATCTCGGAATCTAAAAGAGATAGAAAAATTTTTGTCACTACCTTTTTTGTAGAACCAATTGAGGGTTATGAAAAAGGTTATGAGAAAAATTTGGCTATTTCTCTTAGATTCCGAGATATTCATCAAAAACTGGCCAAAAGTGAAAAAACAACTTATCCCGGTTTACCGCTTCACTACTGAAATAGGAGCCGAAGAATTCTCCAATTTCTCCTGATACTTAATAATTGTGTATGGAAATTTAGGGACAAATTTGGATTTTCCTTCTTTTCGATTTCTGGAAAAAAAATGGTAGCTATCAGATGTTTCATTTTTCTCATAAAAAAGTCAAATATCAATTCCATTTTCATAGAAGAGAAAAATAATGACAATCATTTTCACTGATTAAAACAATCCTAGGTCTTATTTTATTATTATTCCAAAACTGTTGATATTGCATTGAGCGTCTTCCTCAATCGATTCAGATGAACGATTTAGTGTCGAGGCGGAAGATGCCAATCATCGTGGGAGGCACGAACTATTACATCGAGTCACTGCTGTGGCAGATTCTCGTTGAGGATCCCGAGGCGTCTGGGAATACGATGAGACATGATGATGGGCATTTCGTCGATCGAGAGAAGAGGGAGTGTGAGAACGAGGTTGATGATAGCAATAAGGGTAAAATTATTACTCAATCAGCTGAAGAACCACCGGATAAAGATGAACGAGTGAATAATACGTATACATGCCACAAAAAAATGAAGTTCGATGATTCAATTGAAACGAATGAGGCACTGCATAGGCGTTTGACCAAAATCGATCCGGAAATGGCGCGTCGACTGCATCCAAACAACAGACGGAAAGTCATCAGGTGAGTGTCTTAGTCCGCCCCCATTCTATGTAACAATACAGTGTCGAGTCTATGGAATCCTAACCGGAAAAGCCTATATACCCTCGTAAGATTTGTCAAACTCTATTGTGAGGGAAAAGCCAGGTGTACTTTATGAATGTCACTCCTCCCCTGGACATTTTGAAAATGCCCCTTTATGCTCTACCTTCTCGTCTTTCTTGAAAGACCTCGGAAATTTAGGACAACTATTGTGGATATATTATCCTATCTCCGATGACAGGGACCCATCAAAGATGTACCTTGAGAACGTAATGGTCAGCGTGCCACGGTATCATCGCCAAAGGCATTGACATTGATGGAATGTGAATTTGCGTATATCGTTACGTCGTGGCTGAGGTATTGGCAAATTTGCCGTTGGCTATAACTGAATATATTCCCTGGCTTTAACTATTCACAAATCTCTATGTAACAAAGATTAATTTAGGTCGATGAGGATAGAAACTCTCTGCGTCCAAGGGAAATCACAGAAGGCCAAGCGTATCGAGTATTCCACGAGCAAATTCATTTATTTACTCTTGCTTCTGCTATTTGCTTAGTTCGTTTTGTGGGAGTGAAATGTGTGATAAAGATATCGATATCCGCAAAACATGTGCCGAGAGGAGGTTAAAGGATGATAGGTAAAATAGGTAGGTAAAATATTGACCCACTTGCTTGGGTGTAATACATTGAGACCTAAGACTCGGTCGCGAGGGAGAGACACTAGTTTCAGAATAGACCGGATGTTAGACCTTGATATAAATAAACTCAGTGAGTCCATTGTTCTCACGTTTGAATAATTTATCAATTATTCGATACGATTCTGAGTGATTATTAAACAGTCAGAGGTATATTCCATGGATTTTGACATTCGTGCGTGATCGGTGGTAATGAGATGCGACGAATACAGCTCAGTATTTTTTTCCACCGGTTGGTGATAAGCTTTCCTCCTAACTCTTATTCCAATGAATATATCACGCCTTCAGTTCGTGATTTTTTGACTGCATACGATAGCAATTATCTCCACATTTTTTGTATCCGTTCTCCTCCGTCCACTTATATTTACACTCACAGATTAAGGATAAAAAATATCCGAGGGGAGGCACTGATGGTCGAAAATTATTACGTTGTATGCAAATTGAACGCAACAAAATAATGAAATTTCTTCGCACAACTCAGCTTTTCTCAACTCTTCCTAGGCTTTCTTAATGTTCATGCAAATATAACTCGTTCTTCACGCCGAGTGCTTTTTTTGGAGCACATATATAATCCGAAAATGCACGCGATTTTATTAGGCACGCGCCTGGCATCGTTATACAGCCCAAGCAATTATCGGGTGGCTTCTATTATCTACACGGGTGGTATAAAAACACGTACAAAATTGGTGGTTCATCACATAGAATTCAACAGACCTCGAGTCATTAGAGCATGCAACATCGCTGGTTGTACTTATTTCATTTTTCACATTCGAAATTCTCCACTCCGTACCTTTTCCAGCTGGAGTAGTCCCTCTTCCTTTGGGCGTCACGTGAAACGATTGGAACTCACTGGAGTGTATAACACTTTATTCATTATCCAGACAGGTGTGTTTGTATCCCCGGGCTTTGCAATCCCTACGCGCCTGCACGTCTGCATTCACGATAATCATTGTCATTAGTTGCGATGGATTATCGCACTGACTCTTCTCTACCCTCAGAGTTATATTTCAAGAAGCAATAAGTTTCGTTGGATTTTACTGATGTCATAAAGCGGCTTGAATAAAACAGGTGACTGTCACGATTCGTGATGTGTGGCAATAAAGATTAAGGAGCCGTTTGTGTGGTGAAGAGAGGAATAAAGACTGGAAGAGGGAGCCTTGCGTGCACTCGAGTATAAAAGCTCATCTAATTGATTGTTACTTTGGAAATTACAACAAGTGCCATGTACATTTTAGGGACCCACCAGGTGTTGTTAGTATCTTTTCATTTTATCTTTTTCTAACATTCAATTTGTCTGACCTCAATGGTTCCCTCAACACTCGAGCTTTCGTAAAATTTCTGGCATACCAACTATCAAAAAGTGGTGAGAAAATGAAAGCTACGTAGCTCTTCAATATGTGAATTCTTGGAATTTAAATCGTTACACGTAAGAGACCTCGGCTCCAAAACACACGTGTTGTGATCACGAATTTCAATAGCCTCATTAAAATTCCTGGTTTACTCAGCTCCACAAACTTTACAGTATCTATTCAACTTTTGTAACTCAATTTAAATGTAAAGCGAAATATCTACATGATTATTTTACTGATGATATAAGTGAGTTTGGTGATGGAGGTTTTGAGATAGAATTTCCGATATTTCCACAGGGAAAAGTAATTTTTGGAGACAACAGTTTTACCAACTTCATTTGAGTTTTGTGTATGTAAATCTTGTCAATACATTTATGCGCTTATTCAGAGTCTTTTGGGAGTCGTTTCAGTTTCTCTGAATATTGCTCGTCTTTTCTTCACATGTTTCAAATATTATTGCAGTCTCATTCAAGCAAATACCGCAGTTGGCGGCTGAATTTTTCTTCTTCAGTGCATAATGTTGGCGGAAAATTTGAGAGACCGATGACGGTGAAGGTCAATTAGGCCACCCTGTGGTGAGCTCATCGTTTCTTTCACAATTGCTTGGGGCGCTCTGGCTCTACCCAGACCAATAGACAGCTGCTCCGCCGAAAATCAACTTTTTCCTCACTTTTCCTATTCCCCTATTTTTCACCTGGCTAATGTGCATGGCAAAGAACTCCCACGGACTCCTCCGCTAACTGTTTTCCGAGGAACGCCAGGTAAAGGGACTCGTCAATTTTTCATCGACTCGTGCCAGGTGCAAATTTCCTCTTCACGCTTAAATATTCAAAAGCGAAAAATAAGAGATGAATTTATCCCCGAGGCCACATCGGAAATATCCGTAAAAGTAGAACGGTAATTAATGCCCGACTGGATAGGAAATTTCTCTCATATTCTGGACACGCAATGGGGGACCCCCGGAGAGAGGATACGATTAATTAATCCATCGGCAATTACGTTTAAACCGTATCTTTACCGAATTGGGATATTGTCAAAGGCCTCGTGTCTCGAATACCTCTTTCTGGTCATCGAAATGAATGGAAAAAAAAAAGTTGCCTCCAACAATGTCGCCAATCGTGTTGTATCCATAAATGAACGGCAAAAGAAACGCCACGAAAATTCCCGAAGACCTTCACAATTGCTCCAAGTATACCAAGCAAGGGGGAACAAAGAAATTGATATTAAAAAAATAAACGCAAGAATGAGTTTGATGCCCCTGAAATTAACTTGTATCTAATTACTATAACGCATGAGGGCTTTTTAATCGTCCGACATCACTTGATATGAATATGCACGCTTTCCCCGATACTGGTTCATGCATCCTGATGTCTTATACCTCTTGAACTGCATAAAATCCTTGCAGATGCGCAGCGTTCCGTATCCTCGATTTCCATGCAGGTGTTAGTCGATCCTGCTGGGTCATTTCCTTTGACCTTCGCGTGCACGTCTGTGGTAGCTCTTCATACACATTTTGCCCGACTACCCTCTTCTCCTCTTCACCACTCTCTTTCATATTCCTGCAACACAGTTGCTTTTATCGTGATCCATGTTCAACACATCTCGTAGTTGTACATTTTCAAAGCGAAGAAGGTCACAGTGAAAATTAGCTTGGACTTTTAGAATCCCGCTCGATTTTAACGCCTATACAAAATCTCGGGCTTTCATCTCGTCTCGCTTCATTCAACGCTAGGAATCAGGAACAGGGCGCCGAGTCATCGTGGGGCAGGATCCGACTTCTTCCTTTTTCTGCATTTTACTGTCTCTCTCTTTCTTCTCTGATTCGTACAGATGATCGAACAGGTTCTTTTGCTCTTGGCACATAAACTTATCCACGTCTCGTGTAAATTAAAGGCTTGTTTCTTTGATGCGGTGGTTGAATCTCATCTCTCTTACTGCCCCTCAAACAGATGACTTTATTTCGAGAGATTGGGTTTTAGAATTTGAGAATGGCGAAATTATTCTGAATCAAGGAGATTCCTGAGGCATTCCCTAAAGTTTAAGGATGAAGGGAGGAGATAGAGGAGGCGCGAAGGAAAGAGGATGTCATGCACCTGTCTGTGTTGGGTGGGGAGGGCATCCGTATATATGAATTCTGTTTTATATGATACCGTCCGCAGTGTTTATCCCCATGACCCGATCCACGGGTTCATTTGGCGAGAGGCTTAACGTACAGGCTGATGTGTACAGTCGGTGAAAAAAAATCAGAGGTCGGTTGCTCCCTTCGCTCACTGGCTACACTCCCTGTAGTTGGAGTAGGGTTGCTGGTCCATGTACCGCCCAGTGGGTAATAGCACCTTCCCGTATTTCTCAGGATTGGCTGAGAATTTTTTTTTCTTTTCGCTTCCGAATGGAAGCATTATTTTTGGTCGATTTTTCGATTTTCTAATTTTGATTGAAAATGGTCTAGAATGTTATGAAACGTGAAGAAATGATGTTTTTAGGGTCACGTCTGTATGTATGTATGTGCAGATTTGGGTTTTTGGTGATTAATTTTTAGAAAATTCAACATAAATACGGTGAAATTTTTAGATACAAATTTTGGCTCGTGGTAGTTATGAGCGAGCTCTACTTTGGTGCGTTGTTTCAGCCCGATCGGTTCAGTAGTTCCTGAGATATAACAACTTGTTTAAATTTCGTTTTTCCTCAATATCTCAACAACTGCACCGATTTCAATTTTTTATTTCAAAATACTCGTCTCGATGGCCTCTATCTGGATCAATCATATACATTTCCACATCCATTGCGACCTTTTCCATAGCAGAAAAATATCTCCATCAGTCATTATTGGCTATTTTATCAGCCTCCGCGTTTGTGGGTAATTCCGTCCAGAGTTTGTGGGTAATGCCGCCCAGGGTTTCTATAGGGCTGCTAGACTGCAGCTACACTGAGAAGAATT